ATCCTGATTTTTATTTGTGCAGTTATTGTTAAACTGTTAACACTCTGGTATATTTTCGGTCCATTTGCAACTCACATACTTGTTCATTGCTGCAGCTCCAATTCTCTGAATGGGTCTCACATGGTCCTGAGTTTTAAATGTTTGTAATTATTTCACAATTTGAGAAACACATTCTAGGAAAACAAATCCACCAGTGACTCCTGTTGGGAAACAGACTTAATCCATTTTTGTGTTAATGACGTCAGACCCGAGTACTGAGTACCGTGGGTCCTGAACCTAGTCCCTTCTGAGTTATCAAAACAGAACAGACTGAGGCTCCGGCAGGGCAGATGGAAGATGCCATATGAGACAAACAGACGGGAGACACCGTATGAGACAAACACAGGCCAGTTGCATCTACCAGCCCAGCAACTCCAAGGGTGTGAGCAGCTACTGGAAGCTGAATGGGACAATAGGTCTCTCCCTGGAGCCATGTCCTGAATTCAGACTTCAAATGTCCTGAACTGTGAAACAATCAATTTCTGTTATTTAAACCCACCGTTTGTGTTTACTTGTTTTTGCTATGGTGACACTTGGTAGCTAAGACAGGCTCCCATGTAAAGACTCCGCTGGGAATGAAGAAATAAATGAATCCATGGCCAGGGCTGTGGCGTGAAGGTGTTCAGGTGCCACCTGCATAAGGCACCTGGCCAAGTAAAAGGAGTTGGGGCTGACGCCCAATGGGAGCTTCTCTCACCATCACGTGACCTGCAGTGGCACTGTGTCTAGCCACAGTGCCCTAAATGCAGGCAGGCCACGGTCAACACGAGAAGCCATGTCAAGGTATCTGATTTGCAAGGAGGTTTCCTGCGATTCAATCTGAGAATCCCACTTCCTAGAAATCCCTTTGTTGTTGTTATTGTTGTTGGGTGCCATCGTGTCGGCTCCGACTCACAGGAACCCTGTGTACAACAGAGCGAAACACTGCCTCATGTACCACCCTCACAATCCTTACCATGCTTGAGCCCATCATTGTACCAACGGTGTCAATCCATCTTATGGAGGACCTTCCCCTTCACTGACTCCCCACTTTACCACGCATGATGTCCTTCTCCAGCAAATGGGCCCTTCCGACCACATGACCAAAGTAGGTGAGACGAACTCTGGCCAATCTCGCTTCCAAAGAGCATTCTGGCTGAACTTCTCCCAGGACAGATTTGTTCTTTTCTCTGCCAGTCCATGGTACTTTAGTATTCTTCACCAACACTGCAATGCAAAGACAGCAAATCTTATTCTGTCTTCCTTATTCACTGTCCAGCTTTCACATGCACATAAGGCAATTGAAAATAATGTGGTTCGGATGAGGCGCACCTTAGTCTTCAAAGTGACAGTTTTGTTTCTTACCACTTTAAAGAGGTCTTTAGCAGCGGATTTGCCCAGGACAATACAATCTCTGATTTGCTGGCTGCTGCTTCTATGGGCATTGACTGTAGATGCAGGTAAAATGAAATCCCTGACAACCTCAATCTTTTCTCCATTTATCATGATGCTGCTTATTAGTCCAGTTGTGAGGATTTTTGTTTTCTTTATGTTGAGGTGTAATCCATACTGTAGATCAGTAAGCGCTTCAAGTCATCTTCACTTTCAGCAACCAAGGTTGAGTCAGAGCCAACTCAGTGGCAGATGACTTAATGAGTCTTCCTCTAATCCTAATGCCACGTTCTCCTTTATATAGTCCAGCTTCTTGGGTTATTTGCTCAGCATACAGATTGAATAAGTATGGTGAAATGATACAACCCTGACATATACCTTTCCTGATTTTAAACCATGCAGTATCCCTTGTTCTGTTCCAATGACAGACAGCCTCCTGATCTATGTATAGGTTCGTCATGAGCACGATCCAGTGTTTTGGAATTCCCATGCTTCTTAATGTTATACATAATTTGTTATGATCCACACAGCTAAATGCTTTTGCATAGTCAATAAAACACATGTAAACATCTTTCTGGTATTGTTTGGTTTCAGTAAAGATCCATCTGACATCAGCAATGATATCCCTCATTCCATGTCCTCTTTTGAATCTAGCTTGCATTTCTGGAAGTTACTTGTCAATATATTGCAGCAACTGTTTTTTAGTTATCTTCAGTAAGATTTTACTTGTATGAGATATTCATGATATTGTTTGATAATTTCCACATTCTATTGGATCACCTTTCTTTAGAATGGGTGTAAATACTGATGTCTTCAAGCCAGTTGGCCAGGTAGCTGTCTTCCAAATTTCCTGGCATAAATTAGTAAGCACTTCCAGAGTAGCATCTGTTTGTTGAAATATCTTAAAGGATATTCCATCAATTCCTGGAGCCTTGTTTTTCAACTTCCTTATTCAATACCATTAGTTCTTGATCATACACTACCTCCTGGAGTAGTTGGACATCAAACAATTCTTTTTGGTACAGTGACTCTGTGTATTCCTTCCATCTTCTTTTCATGCTTCCTGCATCATTCAATATTTTGCCCATAGAATCCTTCAATATTGCAACTCGAGGCTTGAATTTTTTTCTTCACTTCTTTCAGTTTGAGAAATAATGAGGGTGTTCTGTTTTGGTTTTCTAACTCCAGGTCTTTGCACATTTCATTATATTTTACTTTGTCTTCTCAAGCTGCCCTTTGAAATCTTCTGTTCAATTCTTTTATTTCAGCATTTCTTCCCTTCACTTTAGTGAATTCGTTCAAGGGCAAGTTTCAAAGTCTCTTCTGACATTCATTTTGCTCTTTTCTTCCTTTCCTGTCTTTTTAATGACCTTTTGTTTTCTTCATGTATGATGTTCTTGATGTCATCCCTCAACTTGTCTGGTCTTTGGTCACTGGTGTTCAGTGTGTCAAATGTATTCTTCAGATGGTCTCTAAATTCAGGTGGGATGAAATCAAGATCGTATTTGGGTTCTCATGGGCTTACTTTAATTTTCTTTAGCTTCAACTTGAACTTGCATAGGAGCAGTTGATGGTCTGCTCCACAGTCAGCTCCTAGCCTTGTTTTGACCTATGATATTGAGCTTCTCTGTCTCTTCTTTACCCAGATACAGTTGATCTGATTTCTGTGTATTCCATCTGTTGAGATCCACATGTATAGTGGCCATTTATGGTGTTGAAAAAATGTATTTGCAATGAATAAGTCATTGATCTCACACAATTCTATCATATGGTCTCTGGTGTCATTTCTATCATAAAGGCCATCTTTTCCAACTACAGATGCTTCTTCTTTGTTCCCAATCACCAGTAGTTATCTCATTATTGCATGTTTGGTCAATTTCAGACTCCAGATATTGTTAAAAATCTTCAGTTTCTTCATTTTTGGCTTTAGTGGTTGGTGCATAAATTGGAATAATAGTAGTATTAATTGGTCTTCCTTGTAGGCATATGAATGTTATCCTATCACTGACAACATTGTACTTCAGGATAGGTCTTGAGATGTTCTTTTTGACCATGAATGCAACACTATTCCTCTTCAATTTGTCCTTCCCAGTAGATTATATGACTGTCTGATTCAAAATGGTCAATACCATTTCAGCTCACTAATGCCTAGAATATTGATCTTTATCCATTCCATTTCATTTTGACCACTTCCATTTTTCCTAGGTTCCTACTTTGTATATTCCACGTTCCAATTATTAATGGTTGTTTGCAGCTGTTTCTTCCCATTTTGAGTCATGACCCATCAGCAAGCGAGGTCCTGAAAGCGTCACTCCCTCCACATCATTAAGGTCGATTCGGCTCTGGGAGGCAGCTCTTCTCCAGCATATTTTTAGTGCCTTCCAACCTGAGGAGCTCATCTTCTGGCACTATATCAGACAGTGTTTCAGGGCTGTTCGTAAGGTTTTCACTGGCCAAGTTTGTCAGAAGTGGATGGTCCCATCCTTCTTCCAAGTCTGTCTCAGTCTGGAAGCTCCACTGAAACCTGTCCACCACGGGTGAGCCTGCTATTATTTGAAATACCTGTGGCATAGCCTCCAGCCTCACAGCAACACGCAAGACACCACAGCACAACAAACTGATAGGCGAGTGGTGGGGAAACCCCTTTAGTCCCAGGCAAACAGGGACAGTGGGTCACCTACCTGTTCCCACCACATTCCCAGGTATGGGTCCAGCCCGACTTGAGGAGAATAACAATAACAGGTGAAGTCTGCTTACGTATTAAGTGGTTCCCTGGGTAGTGCAACTGGTTAACACCCTCAGCTGCTAACCAAAGACTGAAGGTTTGAGTCCATCTGCAGGCACCTTGGATAAAAAGACCTGGCAATCTCTTTCCCAAAATGCAGCCCCTGGAAACCGTTGGAACACCATTCTACTCTGACACACAGGGCGTCGCCATGAGTCGGAGTTGACTCCAAGGGAACTGCTTTCTGGTTTAGTTGAATGGCAGCGCCATGTGTCCTGACCTGCATCACTCTGCTTGTATGTCATGCCACCTGTTTCATAAAGGCGGGGTCAGAGGTCCTGAGGGGGAGGTGATTTGCCCAAAGCAAGTGGTGGAGCTGGGGTTTGAACCCCCATGTGTCTCAGAGCCCTCTGCCCCCATTGCCTACCTCTCAGAGGGCCCTGGCAGAGCAGCCCAAGATGGCCAGGCCAGCATGGGTGCTGGGTGACAGTCAGGTCTGTCCTGCAGGAGCACACCTGCCTGGTGGAGGGTCCGGTCAGGACCATTTGTGCAGGGTTGAGACCACCCTGCCGCCCTGTCCCCCAGACCCTGCTCTTGCTCTTCTCTTTCTGCCCAGCTGCTCCCAAGCCTGGATGGAACGGGACCCCCTGAGAAGCCCTCTGAAGACAATTTTCTGATTCCAGAGCCTGCTAGCCCCCTCTTGTCCCTTTGCCCTGCTGCCCTCGGCTTGGATAAGGGGTGAGGCTGGCACTTAAAAAATAAACGCTCGCTGGTGGTTTATTGCCGGGTCTGGAGGGTGCCACCCAGGGCAGGAGTGGGCAGGCTGAGCAGGGCTGAGGGCCCCGAGGCAGTCCTTCTGGCGGGTCTAGTCACAGGTGGGGCCAGCCGGGGCCCGGTGGGGGGTGAGGTGGCTGGTCAGGAAGCGCACGGCTGAACGGATGCCCTCAATCGTCCGCCGCTCAACTGTCTCCAGCATGTTGGTGACTGAGCGCAGAGCCGAGCCCGTGCCCGCTGCCAGCCCAGAGGAGAAGGCCGAGCTGGCACTGCCCAGGATGCTGGAGGCCGAGTGCAGGCTGGGCCCCGTGCCCTGCAGCAGATCCGTCACAGAGCTGTGGCCGGTGGCCAGGAAGCCCGTGGCCATGCCCACGGCAGTATCAGACCACACCAGGATGTCTGCCAGGGAGCTGATGGAGCCCTCGCCCCCACCCAGCAAGCTGGTCATAGAGCGCATGTAGTTGTTCTCCTCATCGGCCATGTACAGGTTGGAGTCCAGGGGCCTCCTCCCCGGGGCCACGGGGCATGGGGCAGGCGAGGGGGGCGTGCTGCTCCCTGGGGACAGCAGGAAGGACTCAGCCGGTAGCCCGTCTGAGCTTTCCACCAGATTCTCAGGAACCACTGTGGCTTTCGTTTCAGGGGTCACGGCCTGTAGGCTCCCAACTGGCTCCTGAGTGGCCTCAGTGTTGCCAAAGGCCTGAGTGTCAGGCTGACCCGCGGCGTCTGCAGTGGGCTGGGCAGCGGGACTGACGGGTTGACCAGTAGCGTTCTCAGCTGGCTGTGTGTCAGCACCTGGGGAAGATGGAGTTAATTCCTGTCTCCCGCCGGGGCCAGCTTCACTCTGTGGCCTCTCTTCCTCGATCAGGGAGTGCCCTTGCAAAGTTAGGTCACTGTGACTCGTCTTTGCATCTTTAACCACCATGTCCAACAGCGGGTTCTGGTTGCTCCTGGACACTTGTAGGGCACCTGGGGCTTCACGGAGGAGCAGAGATGTGACAGCTTTGGGCTCCGGGCTGTCCTCTGGGACGCGCCCAGACTTGGCCTCCAAGGTGTCTTGCTGGATGGAGGCTTGACTGACGTCCTGCTGATTTGGTGCCACGGTGCCACTTTCCTGGCTTTGGGACCCGTCCACTGCGCTGTTTATAGACTGGTTGCCCCTCACGCTGCCCAGGGAGGCCTCGGGAGTGCCATGTGGGGGGTTGCTGGAGGCGCTGGCCTCTCCCGAAGGCTCGGTGGTCATCTATGCCCTCTGCCACTGTGGTGGTTCAAGGGAGTGGTCATGGCCCAGCCAGGCTGAGCTGCCCAGGTGGTGAAGTCACAGGGGCCTGTGGGCAGCTGGCGATGTCACAGGCAGGTCCAGAGCAAGGGTCTGAGGAGCTGCCCAAGGAGGGTAACAGTTGATAGCAGAGTTTGCAGGTCTGCAGGGACAGATAGCGAACGTCTGGGCAAAGGTGGCGCTGTGTGGGCTGGTCCTGACCCACGAGGAGTCATGTTGGTGGTGACTGACGGCCTGGGACGGAGATGCTGATTTATAACGGACCTTTACATGGGACGCCTCCCAGCTGCTCTGTGTCTATGTTGGTGACTCCGGACCAGGCTTGGACAGTCTTTCTGGAGCGGACTGGGTTCCCAGCAGCAGCGGGTGGGAACAAACAGCTCCTGGCCCCGGCCGTCCTTGCTGTGGGGCTGAGGCGCTTCCAAGGTATGGCAGCTATGGCATGTTTCCTGGGCGCCATCCGAAGGGGGCGCCACTGAGCAGTTTCTGTGAACCATTGCGGTTTCCATCACGAGCTGTGAGAGATTATTTCGGGAAATTCAAATGAATACTTTTGTATTTGAGAGACCTTTCCTGACTTCGGAAGGTGCCCTGGTGATGTAGTTGTTGAAGCACTCGACTGCTAACAAAAGGACCCTGCCAGCCTCTCTGCTGGAGAAAGATGAGGCCGTCAGCTTCGTGAGCTTCGGTAAAAGTTGACAGCCTTGGAGAAACTGTGGTGCAGTTCCACTCTGTCCTCTAGGGGCGCTGTGGGTC